GTCAAGAGGGTAACTCACAAATTAGGCAATTAGGGTAAATAACTTTCAATCACTTTTATGAAGAACGTCCTCTTTACTGACATCTAGTTTTAAGAATGCTTTTCCCTCGCAAGCGAGAAAAAAAAATTCCTCTTACTTCCAATATGAGTGGGATTGAAGTGTGATGCAACTCCTTCCGGTTGCGTGCTGCCTGTTATGGGATGAACACCAAAGCGAGGTTATTCTATTGTTTTCTTCGGTTCCAGGCTCCAAATTTATTGTCATAAATTAAAATTAATGACGATTAGGGGCCGCAATGCATGCTGGTGGGGCTGGGCCCCCCCGCGCTGTTGAGCCATCGCTTGTTGCGCTTCACGGCATTGACACAGGGAACATTTCGGAACGCTATTTTACTTCAAGTTTTCGTTACTAGTTGAAGCTTTACGACAGGAAAAATCAGATTTATCTGGAGAAGAGGAGATAATTCCTTCCTCGAAGGACACTTACAAAGCATCCTAAAGCCGTCTTATACTGTTTTGTTCGGTTCGTTGTCATAATGCTGTGAGAACGACAATGGTGAGCGGCCATGATTTTGTTTTTACTTCTGCGTTAATTTTGTGGTAGTACGGCTCGTTGTGACTTCATTCCATCGGAGAAATTCTTTTGATCAGTCAGATTAGTAATCTACTGATTGGATTTATTTTCAGGGGACGAAGGCGCTTCGCCGTTTTCAAGGCGATGACTATGTATGATCAACAAGTCGTTTTCGTGTAGTGGGTTTTTGTATTGTAGTAGTAATGGCCGAGCAACTGGTAGACGGGCCACCGAACAAGCGACCGAAAATAGGAGCCCCAGACACACCAACCGACAATGCTGGTGAATATAATGTTAAATGATTTTTTTCTTGTGTTTATGTGCGGTTTAAGTTTGCAGTTGTACTGAGTTCTTGAGGTCTATGTTCCGTTCCTTTAACTTATTTAAATTGCCGTCTTCCCTTTAAAGAGTTGAATTGGAAGTTTATGGAAGACCTGGATGCCAGTTTACCCGATGAACTTGGTGGACCCGCGATGATTCCCAATTCTGATGGTCTAACTAATGGTGAAACAACAGCTGATGTTTCAAGTGCTACCTCGAGTTTGCAGCAAATTCTTCAATCGAATGTTCCCCTGTCAAGTGGCGCGAGCTCTACGCTCAACACCAGTGCCATCTCTTCGACAGTTAGCGTATCTAGTCCTGATAGTCCATCGTTGACTACTTTAACATCAGTTAAAAGTCCGGCAGTGAACAATTCTTTGTCCTCTCCTCCTCAAATGCCGGTTAGTACGAGTGGGACTCCTACTCCAGCGACACCGCTCACTTCATCCAGTGACCTCCATCTTGGAAGTGTTGGTTTGAGTCCTGCCCCGTCATCGTCTCTGCCGATGTCAACAGTGAACTCGGCATTGCAGAGTAAGGTGGCGAGGGATGCAAGACTGCAAGTTGCAGCCCAGTATGGTAATAATTCGCTCGATATGAACATGCTTGCCAATAACAACGCAATGATGGGATCTATGAATGGGCCCAGCTCAGCGACTCAATCGATCGCTTTGAATACAGTGGCACACGAAATCGGAGCGACATTTTCTCGAACTACTAATATGAACGTGAGTAATTCCGGGAGCAATCCCTTTCAAAATCCGTTACCTCAGCTACAACAAGATCAGTTGGCGAATAATTTTGTGAGTCATTCTGGTATGAACGGAAGCCCAGATCAATCCAGTGTATCTTTAGGCCAAGTAAGTACTGATTTTTTCGTAGTCATATGTAAACGTAGTGGCTGGCTTCTGCATTGATATTTCGTGGCTGTCAAACGGTAGATGTGCTTTTCCTTCCTGCCAAATCTAATGTCATCTTGAATTGGGTTTACTCCCTCTTAAGTACGAAGCTGTATTCGTGAAAATGAAAAGGCATTGCTCTAAAACTCGACGGAAAATGAAAAATATTGTCGATCCTTGGCCATTGCTGTGATTTACCCTGTTGTTTTGTTGATGAGCCATTCCTGAACATCACCGAACTCTCAGTATGTTGGTATTTTAATCAGGGTAACTTATCCTGACAGCCTCTTATTTTGTCTAACCTTGCTTCACTTGACTATGTTTCTTTTTGGGGATAGAAAATCTGTTATGCGTTTAATTTTCCGAAATTTGTTGGTCCCGTTATTAGTTGTTTTTGATCGTATTTAGCTTACAATTAATTTTTTGTTTATTATTATGGTATATTGAAGCATACAGCGTCTTCTTTAAAGCTGCTTTTAATGGTGGAATTTAAAGGAACTCCGCTAAAGTTATTGTATCGAACATGTCTGCATCAGTTTGTTCAGTTTTGATTGTATTTTTAATTTGTAATATTTTGAAATTTGGCCCTAAGTTTTGATCTCGTAACTTCAAGTAATTCGAACCAATGTACTGTACTTTTTTTGCTTTACCTACCTGTCTTGTTTTCATATAAATTTTTTACTACTTGTTGTGTCAAGTTGAGATTATGGGTTAATGAAAAGGAAGTTGTGTCTTTTATGTGCTCCATAGTTTACAGCTTGTCTGAATGAGACTATTCTCATCCAGGAATATGACATCAACTTAGTGTTCTTATTGTTTGGTTATTATTGTAACAACTGTCCGGGAAAGTTTTGTTATGAATTGATGGATGATGATTAACTACCCAGATCAAAATTCCACATGGAAGATTTATAGTAAAGTGAGTGGAGTGGAAGTATGGAGATGTCTTGTTTACTCATTATGCATGGGGAAATGAGGAAAATAGTTTTGAAAATTTGGTGTTGCGTTTTGCTTTCAGAGTCTTTGGTTTTTCCTAGTACTCTGACGGGTTGTCCTAATAACTCTTAATTTGTTAACTTTTGGTAAAGGTTTATTTGAAGTTATGAGGTTATTGTGATCACTTGAAATGCCGTAAGTGGTCTGCAAAAGTTTATATACAGTGGTGCTTAATTGATCTCAAGTTTTCTACAAAATCTTTGATTTTGTAACTGAGTTTGTCTTTTGGATATTCATCAATTCCAACTATTTTTATTTATACTCTTTCTAACATTTGCAACCATAATTGAAACAACCTTTGCTCATTATTTTCAGTAGGATTCATTGTGTCTTAAACATTGGTTTCTAGTATTGTATACCTCATAGCTTTGTGATAAAAAGGTTTATTTGAGTAGATCTGTTTCTAATCAACTGTGGTATTATTTCCTTTCCAGCAGGCATCAGGATTGGCTCAGCCTCCAACAGCAGACCCTGAGAAAAGAAGATTAATACAACAACAATTAGTACTTCTGCTTCATGCACACAAGTGCCAACGTCGAGAACAACAGGCCCAAAATGGGGCTGTAAAACCCTGCAATTTACCTCATTGTCGAACTATGAAGAATGTCCTGAACCACATGACAACGTGTACTGCTGGAAAAACATGTCAAGGTTTGGCAAACCTTTTTGTGATGTAGAGAACTAGATTATGAATTTGTTTATTCTAGGACTTTAAATTTGTCTTGAGAAAACATTTTTTGAGCACTGAATAAGTAAAACTCAATCTCTGAAATTTGTGTGCACAATCAAGCCCACAAACAACAGTTGGTCCTTGGAGAAGTGTTTGGTTAAACTTCAGGTTTCTTTATTGTAAGGCTTCACCTGGTTGGACACTGACTATGGATTTCTGATGGCAAAAAATATTATTTAATTTGGAACAGGTTGTTAAATCATGGAAGAATTAAGCTTTTGATCAACTGAATTATTGTTAGAATTCTTTTGAGGCTGTTAATGAAACTAAGTAATATTAAATAGTCATCGTACAGAAGCATCTGAACTTAGGACATTTTAGTTTTATCCATACTCTCTGGTTGCAAGAGCTAACTAAGCAGACAAATACTGGAGAAGTCTTCTTATTTGCATTTACCCCATTACTTAAACACGAAGGTGCACTATAAAAGGAGCCTTAGGCCCCACTGGACCATTTGTCAATCAACTGTCGTGTGATGTAGAACTCTTAAGGTCAAGTGAGCTTCAGCTACAGCTACTCCAAAGCAGTGAAAAGCAGGCGCATTCCTCAAAATTGTTTTATGTCTTCATCACAATACAAGAAGTTTTGAGATTTGTATTTCCTTTCTCCAATGGAAACTGTCTTTATTTGTGGCGGTAAATTTGAGATTGAAGTAGGTGGTTCGCACGTTACCTCCTGCCACCATGCTGGTGGAAGTAAACAATAGATATCTCATTAGCTCCTTTTGTTCATCTACCAGCATTTAAATTTGACCCGCACACTTCAACGGTGAGTGACAAATGAGCCTAGCTAGTATGCCTTCGTGTTTAAGTAATAGTTATGGAAGGAGACTTATTATGGGAAAAACTAGTTTATTTTAAAGTGATTTTGTGCAGCCATATGAGTTTCTTGTCTGGTGAAAACAAGTTGGTGCCTGAACAAGTGACCTGCCTTTTGACAAAAATTGTGTTGGTTTGTATATATCAAGTTGTTTTACCTAATCTTATGTTAATGTTTCAGTTGCCCATTGTGCTTCTTCAAGACAAATTATTTCACACTGGAAAAACTGCATGAGACGGGACTGCCCAGTATGCCTCCCTTTGAAGCATGCATCAGATAACAGAAATGGAGGTATTAGACAGTCCATTCTTGTTATCATTGTATTGCCATTTATTCTATTAATTGACATCATCTCTTATTTGTATGCAAAGTGTTTCCCATCCATTCTTTATCTTTTCTTTATTAAGCTTTTGTTGATATCTTTTATGGTTTAAAGTGAGTTGCTATGACCAAGGCTATCTTTTTTTTTCTTTCATCAAAGCTCAAGGAAGTGTTCGAGGCATTGAAAGCGCATATGAAGCTCTTGGTATTACTCTAGCAACAAATGGAGAACCACGGTTGCAGCCCTATCCTGGTAAGGAAAGGCTTCAAAATTGTTTTTCTGTCTATCCTGCTGATTGTGCTGATGTGTTATTTCAAGCAGGCACTGTGTTAGTATTGTAGATATTTGATTATCTAAAGTTCTTTTTATAAGAGGGAATTGCAGAGTGTGTTTTTAGGAAATAGAATTGACTTTTCACCCTTTGCAAAAAGAATGAAGGAATATTTTAAGTATAATGGTGATACAATGTTTTTCTTGAATGGAAGTGTCTATGATTTAGATGAGGTTGAAATGTATTTATTTATAGTAGGAGCACATGCAAATCTACTGAGATCAGATCCTTCAATGCAATTGACAGCAGATAACAGATCATTTGGTGAAACATCAGTTACAGCAACAAGGTAAGGGGTATCTGAGTTGACTAGTATTGTAAGTTTGGTTTGCTTCATTTGAGTTGTGTTTAGTAACCTGCCGTCCACAAAATTTCAATCTTCTTAAATCTGTATTTATTATTCATTGTGGAAAAAGAAATAATTGTCAATTCTCTCTTTTAGTACAACTGCAAGTGGCAATCGGGGTCCTAAAGAGTGGCATCAGCATGTTACGCCAGATCTCAGGAATCATCTTGTACACAAACTGTAAGTCATATATCATAATTGTGTTCTAATAACCGACTTCTTAAGCTATGCTGATTGTTCAAGATATAACAAGTTTATCAAGAGAGTTTGAGCATAAAGTATCTAGTTGTTGGAGTTAACATTTGATGGTTAATGAAAATGCATCTCAGTGTAGTTCTGGATTGAAACTGTGTGTTGCAGGGTCACTGCCATCTTCCCAACTCCAGTGCATGATCCAGCTGCTCTCAGAGATCGGCGAATGGGGAACTTTGTTTCCTATGTAAGGAAAGTAGAGGGTGATATGTATGATACAGCAAATAGCAGGGTAAGTTGTGACTTGAAGTTGTTCAACTATGTACTTGATGCTTTTCCCTTTAGATTTGTTCTTATCCTTATCAAGTTATTTTCACTGAAGGATTTTTTTTAGCAAACTGTCATGTGCAACTGCTATCTAGAAAGGACAGAGAGAAATGCCAAATCAACATTCTTGTTATACTTATATTACAAAATCTCCCCTTCTATACATTGTAAACCTTAGCAATTCAGCCCATGCTGCTATTAGGTATTGAATAAACCATTCTTCTTCTTCTTCTTCTTCTTCTTCTTCTTCTTCTTCTTCTTCTTCTTCTTCTTCTACTGTCTGATTTTAGTAATAAGTGTCTGATTTTTGCCAGTAGTGTCCTAGTGTAGACACTAGTCTCTGATGTTAGATGCTAGTGTTTGATGTAGACACTGGTGTCTGATTTTATACACTATCGTCCGATTTTAGGCACTTAAGTGTCTGATTCTAGACACAAGTGTCCAATTTTTGCAACACTTGAACTGTGCTTTAATGATATTAATTCTTTATAAATTATTTTCCCTCAGAATGTGAAACCTCCTAAACTTGCCCTCAACTGCGTCGGAGGGAAGAGCTCCATGAACCTTTTCCGCTATCTAGCGTAAGTAAATATTCACTTACTGGTTCTTTTAATTTTCCCAAATACTTCCCCAAGGCAGTTAGTCTTGGTCTTGGCAGGATGGAAAGAAAGCCCTTTATCTTATTCTTCCATTAACTGATACCCCTTCCTGGATACTGAGTCACCCTTTGTAAATGTTTTAAAAGTTTTGCAAAACTGCAGCCTCTCATTTGCAAATTGTGTTAAACCTTTGGTTTCTAACTCTAGAATTCAAATTA